TGCTCTTCACAAAAAACACTAAGATCGGTAAGAGTGTACTCACCATCTCTATTAGACCTTAGTCTTTTTATCCTTTTCTCTAATTGATTTTCCACTTCTGTCTTGTAAATCTTGAATTTACCAAAGACTTCATCCTTAGTCTTTATCAAATAAATATAACAACACTTCGAACAATCATCTATAAATGTGACAAAATACTTATTACCAGCTCTAGTAGGTAATCTATTTAAGTCACAAACATCACTATGTATAAGCTCTAAAATTTGGGTATTTCTTTCGACGGACTTAAAAGGTTTCTTGGGTTGTTTTGTTTGTAACAAATTTCACACTTATGCTTGAGATTCATGTTTGACTTTGGGACTAGATCCAAATCCATCATTTTCTTAATTTTGAACAAGTTTACATGTCCCAAACGTCCATGCCAAACATTACTAGATTCAACATTAAGAACTTTTGGAATATTATTGCACTCGGAAGAAACACTTAACTTAAATAATCATTTACTGATAAAACCTTTTCCAATAAATACATTATTCTTGGTTATTACAACCTTATTTGATTCCATTATAACTTTGTAGCCTTGCTTTACTAAGCATGATCCACTAATTAAATTTCTTCTAATATCAGGTACATGTCGCACGTCCTTCAAAATTAAGACATTTCCAGATGTCATCTTTAGTTCAATGTCTCCAATTCCAAGCACTTGCGACATTGAGTCATTTCCTAGAGTTATACATCCTCCACCTGATTTTTGATAGGTTTTAAAAAATTCACGATCAAAACAGACATGTATGTTAGCTCTAGAATCTACCCACCAATCCTTATTTTCATAAGTAAAATTGACAAAGGAATCATACTTAAAATGTGGTTGAGAAGATTGTTGCTCCATCAGCATATTCACTTGGGCTTTTAGACCATTATGATTTGACTTATACTTGTTCTCCTCAGTCTTCTTGTAGAAGCAATCCTTAGCCTTATGATTGGCTCTTCCGCAAACAAAGAAAACCCCCTTCTCTCTCCCCTGATCCTTAGTCTTGTGAAAGTTCTTATTTTGGTTGGGTGATTTGAATTTAAAATTTGTTCTTCTAGGTTTTAAATTCCTCTTATTATTTATGGTGAACTTGGTTTTGTTTTTTCATATTTGTTGGTGTCATTCTCAACTAAGTTCACAGTTGTTTGTCTTTCGGTTTCCTTCTTTTGGCTTGACCTATGCTTCTCTTCGATCCTAATTGAATTTATGACTTGAACCAAAGTAAATTCTCCTTGTTTATGCCTTAAGGTTCTAGTATAGTCATTCCAAGATTGAGGCAATTTATCAATAAGGCATGAGACTTTAAAGTCCTCACTAAACTTCGTTCCTTTCTTTTCAACACCTCTTAATAGCTCTTGATACTCATGTATTTGTTCCCCCACAGACTTATTATTTACCATCTTATAATCATTAAAGTTTGAGACCGTGAACCTATCCATCCCAGCATCTACAATTCCATATTTCGCTTCTAAAACCTCCCAAAGTTCTTTGGCGGTAGATGTAGTAGCATGATACACATCATAGAGATGATCAGAAATGGCACTTAAGATTCTATTGTGACAATGGTATTCTATGAGTTCAGGGGTTAGTTTAGAAGATGACTCTTTAGAAGAGGAACCTTTGTTTGATTGAGTTTCTTCAAGTGCAGATACAAGTCCTAAGACAGTTAGCCAATATTTCACTTGTTTTTGCCACCTACGAAAATTATGCCCACTAAATTTTTCAGGCTTAACACTATTGACTTCTTCTAGGCTTGCCATTTGTTATGTAATACTGACTAATAACAAGAGAGAGATATAAGATTGCTATAATACTGTAGAAATTAAAATAGTTTGTCACTCAAAAGTTTCAACACATGTAGAAATTAAAACTGTTTAATAATCACAGATCAATTAATCATGCACAGATTTAATTAAAGCATAAAAAAATTCACAAATATCAGTATGCAAATGTAGTCAAATTGTAATAATCTCGTTCAGATTTAATTAAAGCATAAAACAACCAACCAATGTCAGTATGCAATTGTAGTCCAATCACGTCTGTTCCAAAACTATTCAATTGTACTGTAAATTGATGACTGTTCAATATTTAATAACTACTTGCAGTTAATTATTAGGATTTTCAAAGATGCACGGGTTCCAATGATGCAATGAACGTGATCTTGGCTTTTAATAATTATTTGATACTGAAAAATCACACACTAATGCAATTGTATGCAAATCACAGTACACAAGTAATATTTAATTATTAATTGTGGTTTACCAAGATTATCAACCCCAGACAAAGTTGACAGATTTGCAATATTAAAATGTTTTGGTACTACAAAATAAAAAATAAAAAAAATAAAGAGAATGCAAAGAGTCCAAAAGACAATGAATTAAAGGCAAGGTTTGTCTTCTTTGTCAATTCAATGACAGGACACAATAAATTAAGCCTTCTCAGACAATTCAATGACAGGGATGAATAAAACAAATGCACTGAGTTAAAAAACAACGACAGGACCCGAAACAAAAATTAATAATAAGAATGCAGAGAGTCAAAAGTGTATGAACGACAGAACCCTAAAAAATTTCACTTTCAACACAGGAAAAACTACAATTTTTAGGGCTTTCAAGGTATTGTAAAAATAGATTGTAAAGTTTGCAATTATATTATCACATGGATACGGATTTAGATTGTGATATATTACAGAAATATACCAATTATTTATATGATCAAATATATCAAATCAAATGTATAATCACTATCAAACTTATGAAATTTAAATTGGGAAAAAAAGAATAAGAAAATCTGGCCTGTGAACCAAAGAGAGGCGCGATGTCGCTGCTCTAAAGCCGTAGACGCCTTCCTACATGCAGGTTATGGTGGTGCCTACAACTCCAAGATACAACACAAAGCCTCACAGGATGTCTGATCCTATATGCACGTCAACGGCAGACGGGATTGCCAAGTAGTGATCAATTGCCCAAGAATTATGAAGTAGGAATGTAAATAGACTGACAGAGATATGAGAATTGATAAGACAGAAAAGTTTTAAGCGTATATTGTTTTCTGTCTGAGGTTTCATATTTAAAGAACTCCTCATACCCTTTTAAAAGAAATATGACTTTTCAAATAAAACACAACTCTTAAATATTATAAATAAATAAAATAAAATAATAATAAGTTCGAAATCTTTAAAATAAAATATTATTAAAATAATTAAAATAACCAACAAAATCTTCCTAGCGGCGCAAATACTCTTTCAACAGAATGAGGCATCCGAGCTAACCTGAGCTTCCATGAAGAAGCATGTTGGAAAGTATTTAGCTTTAAGGACATAAGCCACCAAAGAATTTGGCTCCGAGAATCCGCCAACCCTGTTTAGCGAGCATACTCATATTAAACGTATACAGATTTCCAAACCCAAGTCCACCTTCCGATTTTGGAGAACACAAATTGTTCCACGAGCTCCATTGGATCCGATTCTCCCGTCATTCCCGTTCCACCAATAAGAAGAAATAAGCTTGTTCAAATCATCACAAAAGGACTTCGGGAGCAAGAAACATCCCATCGTATAAAGGGGGATGGCCTGAGCAACAGTTTTCGCCAAGATTTCTTTGCCGGCAGCGCTGAGAAGCTTACCTTTCCAGCTTTGAAGACGTTTCCATAGCCTTTCTTTAATATACCCAAAACAATTGCTTCGATTTCGTTCCACGAGAATAGGCGTCCCCAAATATTTGTCATGTCTGCTCACACACTTACCCCAAGTAACTGGGCGATGCGGATTTTGATTGGGGCCTTAACATTCCTGCTGAAACAAACCTGACTATTTAGGAGGTTGACTTTCTGCCCAGATGCTTGTTCATGTGCATGGAGAACATTTGAGATTTGTCGGCATTCATCTTCCCTAGCACGGCAGAATAGCAAGCTGTCGTCGGCGAACAAGAGGTGGTTAACCGACGGAGCACCATGGCAGAGAGAGATACCCCGGGTTAAACCATCCCGTTCCAAATTAGCCATTAGAGCCGACAGTCCTTCCGCACAGAGGAGGAAGAGATAGGGAGAAAGGACCCTGACGAAGGCCGCAAAAAGGGCGAAGAAAGCCACGCGGACACCCGTTGACGATGAATGAGTACGAAACAAGGAGACGCAAGCCATCAAGAGCTCAACCTATCGATTAGGAAACCCCATTTTGGAAAGGATCCCCCTAAGGTAGTTCCACTCGATACGGTCATAAGTTTTACTGATGTCCAGTTTGAGAAACAAAAGACCATTCTTTTCCCTGCTGACGCCGTAATAATTGGTTGGAAATCTCAGACGCGAGGATGGCATTATCAGCAATGTTCCGTCCTGGTACAAACGCACCCTGGGATGGGGAGATAATCTGGGTCAGATGACATTATAGTTCACAAGTAAAAATTGACGATGGAACACTAATTTACCCTTGAATTTGACGAGATAGTTGATGAACTTTACCGACAATGGATTAATCGGTTAATTTTAAATAGTTTAAGGGTTAATTTTTAAAAGAATAATTTAGGTCAATTTCAATTGAACTAATAATTCAAGTGACAGTTTACACGCTAGAAAAATTTCTGCTACCACGCGTAAGCAAAGTAAAGGAAAGAAGTTTGCGGAAGTTTCACGGGTTGTCCATTTCCTGGAAGTTGTCCCAACCTTTACTTTTATTTATGGAGTCGTGTCGAACCTTTTCCTGAAGAAAGGAGAGATGATAAGAAAACTTTCTCAAAAATCTATAGACTCTTAATAAAAATAAAAAAATAAAAAATTGGACCGAATCTTACTCCAAGAAGTTTGTCGGCTCCGTAACTTCAAATGAAATGATGCTCAGGGTTCTTTTTTTATATTAAAATGAGTTTTAACGAATCGTTTTTTGTATTGTTTATTTTTAATAAAAAATTATATTTTAATTTATTTTAGTATTATTTACTATATTTTTATTTATTATTTTTCATTAAAATTAGATTTTTTTTTTAACTTTTCGCTAATTTTCGTTATATTAAATGGATTAGAGCGCGGTTGTCGATTTCGGTGGAAATTGTCCCACCCTTTACTGTTACTTTGGGGGTCAAGCGTCAAACCTTCTCCTGAACAACTGTATATTTATCCTCCCCGGCAGCAGGATCACCTCTTTGCTGGAATAAATCATCAGTTTTAGCTATGGACTGCCATGATTCGTCACTCATCACACCAAACAGAAGAATAATCCGCCGTCAAGAACTAGACAGGGCGGAGAACGCATGGAAGAAACTGGAAGGCGTCGGCGAAAAACAAGAGCAAACAGTAAGGCGTCTGGAAACAACGGCGATGCTGTTGGTCGGATCTTATGTCTACCTGCAAAGCCTCATATTCCAATCTGTTAGCCGCATGCCGTGCGAGTTCTGGTGGGCGCCGTTCAGCCTCTCGTGTCTGATTTGCGTCGTCTTCGCCATCCCCTTCAAGAGTTTCGTAACGAAATGGGAGCGCACGCAACGTTATTACGAGATCAATTTTCTTAAGGAAGATTTGGTTCACCTCCAGATTGTGGTTTTCTCCCCATCGGATCACGATGAGCAGCTGGAGCGGCAGCAGCAGCCGGCAGAGATATTGAGGAACGATGCTGCGAAAATGTATCAGAGACGCGCTTTCATCTGTTTGGTTTCTTTAGCTCTTGTTGCGTACACGATTGTTGTCCTAACGGCGTGTAGATCTATTCCCTGTCAGAGAGTTGCTATTTTGTAGACGTACGGTACGTTCTCCTATTAATCCTTTCAATTTACATGCGAATTTCCGAATTCAATTTGAAATGGAAAGCAGATAATAAAGTCAAAATACCCTCTGAAGACCTTCTTGCGGGATCGGAGGAAGCTTTTGCGGCGTGGCTGGATCTTACGATCTCTCTCGAAATTTTCTGACGTCGTTTTCTAACGATCCGTCAAGGTCGATTACTTGGTTGTTCTGGATTGTATATGTAAGGCATTATAACAATCAAACAATTTCATATTTTCTTCATTTTGAATTCTAACAGCTACAAAATATGAGGAAATCACTTTCCGTAGAGAAAGTTGATTAGTACCTACCCAGAGGCGACCGAACGGCAGCCACTCGGATTGCGAGAGCTGCTTCGGATCCATTTATATTTGTAAAACGTGAGTAAATATTAAAAGGGAATGTAAAGATTGTGTAAATATTAGGAGTTCTTTATTAGGAAGGATATATGTTTGTGTTCTTTATTGTTTCCTTATGAAACAAGGATTATATGTGTATATATTTCAATTATGTAAACAATGAAATTTGTTTGTACCATACTTGATCAATCCAGAAATGACTAATTACCGGTCAACGTTATACCGTCAAGGACTCAGAAGAGTTTCCCTCCAACCAGGAGGCCAATCACAGTGCAACACGTGTCGACATCAGAAGCCAATCATAGCACAACACGTGTTAACATCAGAAGTCAATCACAACATGACACGTGTCAATGTCAGAACAAAGCTAGAAATTCTCTTCTATAAAAGGAGATCATTCTCCCACAATATTTCTTTGTACTAAATTATTCACTAGTACTCAATAAATGAGACTTTCAACTTATATACTTGTGTAAACCCATCACAATTAATGAGAACTCATCTATTCCGTGGACGTAGCCAATTTGGATGAACCACATACATCTTGTGTTTGTTTCCCTGTCTCTATCCATTTACATACTTATCCACACAAGTGACCGGAGCAATCTAGTGAAGGTCACAAACTTAACACTTTTTGTTGTATCAAAGTCCTCACTGATTTTGTGCATCAACATTTGGCGTCGTATGTGGGAACGACACTTATTCTCACTCTCTTCAGCTTTGTTAAGCTAGTTTCCACCATTCGTACACTTTCTTTTGACTTGGCATCCCTTTCCAACATGAGAGCGAAGGAAGCCACAACACACAGAATGACACCCCTCTTGCACCTAATGCAAAGTAACGAAAAAAGGAAGGAAAGAAGATTGATCTTCAAGCTAAAGTCGATGAGCTAGAAGCTCAGAACAACAAGATAGCCATGAAGAATGAGATCCTCTAGGAGCAGTATGAGAAGCTCTTTGAAACGCTCCACGAAACTAGACGTACTCAAACACGCGAGCTCGTTACCTATGTGGACATCAACCATCATCTGGGTGCCCCCAACACGAAAGGTCACCTTCCTTCGACATGGGTATCCCTGATGAGGAGCGAGCTAATCATCAAAACATTGATCAACATGAGACTTCTCTCAACCCAGCTGCTTCAACCCGAAGCAGGAAAAGTGGACGAAGACACCTCCTTGCAGAAGGGTTTGAATGATTAAAAGCCGTTTATCGTGACTGCGGAGACTTCCTAAAGCAACATCGAGAGAATCCCCTCCACATATGCTCAAGATTAATGACCCAATGGTTTCTGAAAGACTCGGTCCCCTCCTACGACCCAGGCCAGCTGCCAATCTAGGGAATGAACGACAGGTCCCAGAGGAACATGAAGGTACAGGAAACTCGAATGTATTTCGACAGACTCGCCCTAAAAGTCAGTACGGCGAGTCCAAGGAAAAATCACACGTTCTTGCTCAAACTTTCCTACTTCCAAGAGGCGATGGAGATTTACGAAAGAAAATTCCAGTGGTATATGACTCCACTCAGGACCCCCTTATCCTACAGCTCATTGAGGAAGAAAACAAGTTGAAGGCCGAACGTCAGGCCGAGACACCTGACTGGAACCAACCCAGGCCTGACCTTCTCACAAGGAGGATCCTTGACACCTCCTTCAAGCGAAGACAAAACAAAATCTTGGTTTACAACTCTATACTGAAAGAGAAGACCCGATTGAACACCTTAACCTCTTTGAGTCCACCATAGCATATCGGATGCACACCGATGAAGAACAATGTCTTCTTTTCCCTTCCACCCTCTCTGGCGGAGCTCTAAATTGGTATTGCTGTCTTCCACCTGACACAGTAGACTCATTTGAAGAACTGAAGAAACTGTTTGTCTTTCAACACATCTTCCAAATCGATCGCTTGCATTCTGCAGATGAGTTGTACACTATTCACCAGAAGCCAGACGAGTCGCTAAGAGAGTATGCCGGTTGTTTCAGCCATGAGTATTCTCGCTGCGCTGAGGCAGATGACAATACCACCCTCAAGGCCTTCACTGCAGGCCTACGTGATTGTTTCTTCAAGTACATGATCAATGCCAAAACTTGGAGGATTTACTCTGAGGTGATGGCATATGCTTACAACCATGTCTCCGCCGAAGTAAGGACATACCAAGGGAACCCCCATATGGTTAACCTCTATCAACAAGTGGGAAGTGGAAGTCAAGTTCTACCAAATGAGGAGATCTTGACCATTCAGATACTTATTGCATCATCTCCTGCCTCATTTAGCTCTCAGCAACAGGGATAAAAGTTCGTATCAAGACAACCAGGGGTGAACGTACCGTCGACTATTATGATTATGGGGCTAAGCCTCACTCTTTCAAAGTGGAGGACTAAGTATTGAAGCAAATACTATTATAAGAAGGCATACACATTACAAATGTTTTAACCCTCAACCGCTTGAGATCTTTTGTCACACAAGCCATTCGGCAAATATTTAAAGAAGAGGGAATTCAGACAACTTCTCTTGAGTCTTTTGCATTCCTAGCACTTGGACCCTTGGTCTATGCTGACCTACCCCTATACTCTAACTCAAAGCTTCAACATGGGTACTTTGACACAAAGTATGTGATACTAAGTGTTACAACCAACGTGGTTCACATATCGAAAGCATGGATCCCTTCACGCATAGCAAAGCATTCATAAGCATCACTTATGTCAATCAACATAAACATAATACATTCTAACACATTCATACATAAACATCATACATTCCAACACATTCATACATAAACATCATACATTCCAACACATCCATACATAAGCCAACTGTGCTTCGAAAGGGTTCAACATACTTTGTATCATTCGACACTTGCCACAATGTGCCTTGACACCTTACTCTTATTCTCACCAACCAGGTGATGAAATGTGAAAAAGGAACTCATCTTCATGCCACCAACATGTGATAAAATGTACAACACATACTCTCCTTCATGCCACCAACCAGGTGATGAAATGTACAACTCGTACTCTAATATCATTTGGTAACTTGGCACTCATACCACTAACCAGGTGAAGAAAGAACTCATCTTCATGCCACCAACTAGGTGATAAAATGTGATGAAAAGTGATGAAGGAATTCACATTCGTACCCCCAACCAAGTGATGAAAGCAAATCACCATTCATTCCACCAACCAGAAGACGAATGGTACAACTTGTAAATGTAAACTCTTAACATTCACAAATAATCAAAAACCCTCAAGCTTTACAACTCAACTAGGGGATGACTTATGTCTAACAAGAGTTATAGTCACCAACAAAGTCTTATTGCAAGCCAACAACGGCTTCAGTGCATGGTATACGAAGATCAAACTCTTTAGCCCTCTTGCATCTGCTTCAGACATTTCTCCTCTGTAACAATGCAAACACTACAACTCATAGAAAGCTTCACACACTTTTGATCAAGACTGTTCGAAGCAAATTCAATTCATATAGTTCATCCAAACCTTCGACTACTACAAGGTGTGACTTGCATCACAATCTCTTGCTCAATATTGTGGAAGCAAAATTTGTATACGTTGTCTCTCCCACATTTTTAAATTTCTAGTTTTCCCAAAAAAAAAAAAAAGGAAATTCAACAAAGCTTCATCAATGAATGACAACTACAAATTCTCAAAAGCTTCACACACTCTTAATCAAGATAGTGTGAAGCAAAACCAATTTATGGTGGAAATCAAAAGCTTCATCAATGGAGGGCAACTACAATCCTCAAAAGCTTCACACACTCTTGATCAAGATAGTGTGAAGCAATGGAGGACAACTACAATTCTCAAAAGCTTCACACACTCTTGATCAAGACAGTGTGAAGCAAAACCAATTTATGGTGCCAACAAGAGCTTCATCAAATGAGTTCAACCACAATTATCAAAAGCTTCACACACTCTTGATTAAGACAGTGTGAAGCAAAACCAATTTATAGTGCCAACAAGAGCTTCATCAATGGAGGGCAACCATAATTCTCAAAAACTTCACACACTCTTGATCAAGACAGTGTGAAGGAAAACCAATTTATAGTGCCAACAAAAGCTTCATCAATGAAGTGCAACTACAATTCTCAAAAGCTTCACACACTCTTGATCAAGACAGTGTGAAGCAAAACCAATTTATGATGCCAACAAAAACTTCAACTCCAAAGTTTCAACACAAAAGCTTCACCTACAAAGCTTAAACACCAAAGTTTCACCTATAAAGCTTCACCTACAAAGCTTCAACACAAAAGCTTCAACTCCAAAGCTTCACTTACAAAAACTTCAACTCCAAAGCTTCACCTACAAAACTTCAACACAAAAGCTTCACCTACAAAACTTCAACATAAAAGCTTCACCTACAAAGCTTCAACTCCAAAGATTCACCTACAAAGCTTTAACTCTAAAGTTTCACCTACAAAAGCTTCAACTCCAAAGCTTCACCTACAAAGCTTCAAAACCAAAGATTCACCTACAAAGCTTCACCTACAAAACTTCAACCTCAAAGCTTCACCCACAAAAACTTCAACACAAAAGCTTCACCTACAAAAGCTTCACCTACAAAAGCTTCAACTTCAAAGCTTCAAGCTTCACCTACAAAGCTTCACCCACAAAAACTTCAACATAAAAGCTTCACCCACAAAAACTTCAACATAAAAGCTTCACCTACAAAGCTTTAACTTCAAAGCTTCACCTACAAAGCTTCACCTATAAAACTTAAAAATATATATATATTTTTTTTCAGAAATTAGAAAATTCAAAAAAAAAATTGAAAAAAAAAGAAAAAAAAGGAGAGCTTAGGCCTCTCCTTCTTTGGGTTTAACAACTTTCATAACAAATGTACATGAAATAGGAGTTTTGAGTTACCACTTAGAAAAGAAAATGGTGAAGTTTTGTTACTTTGGAAACTTGGCTACTAGCAAGGCACCTCCTTCGTCAACTCCCTCGACCAAAGACTTGGGGGATTCCTACCATATGCTATTGCACCTTGATACTCGGAAGTCTTACGACCACTCAGTGACTTAGATTTTTCAAGTCTCCAATCGAGAAGTTTACCTCACTCGGAAAATTCAGGGAGCACTACCTCAACCTACATGCTTCACTCACAAAACTTCAACATACAAGCTTTAACAAAAGAAAAAATTCAAAGAGCTTAGTGAAGAAGGCTTT